CACTCAGTGTCTGAAGGAATAAGAGGACAAAGCCAAAGGTTGAACAGTTCATTCATTACTGTCATTCATTATGTGTTCATTCCTTAGTGTCCTTCCTCCCAGCCACATATTCCCCTTGGTAAGCATGAAGGACAGGGTGCCTGGCAAAGGGAATTATCCCAACTTTCTCATTCTCCCAATATCTCATTGTGCAGTGAGTATAACCGTAGCACACACTCCCAACACAATTCTCACCATAACCCCGAGAGAAGTATCATCACACTAATGCTACAAATGGACAAAACGAAGCTCAGAAAATGGTTCAGAAACTCACCCAGTTAGCCAAGGGCAGAAGAAATCAGTTTCGTTTTGTTTTGTTTTGAACTAATCAGAAGATTCAAATTCCCTTTAAGAGGGTTGGGGAGTTAGGGAAAATTCCTCTCCTCCCCAGAAAGAAAATCTTAGAATTATCGAACTTTGGTACTAATGCCCACCTCTTTAAATGGAGGAGACTGGGACCCACAGGAGGGATTCATTCTGCCTAAGGACAGACAGGGAAAAAAATGCAATGCCCAAATCTCCTGACCATTAAACATCTGCTGTGCCTCCTACAGCACATGGTCTTGAGATAATAGGTGAGGTCATCCCTCACAGTGGGTATCTTCCTCCTCTCTGCATCATTTCTCCTCAATCTCCTTCCTCATGTCTCTCTCCCCAGCCGCCTGAACCTCTCTGTTGTGATTCCATAACACAGCCCATATCAGAAAACCTCTTCTCTGAAACATTCTTGGCACCTCACATTGCTGTCAAGAAAGAGCGAGCCACCCCTGGTCTCTCCCCTCCCTTCAGTAACACTGCTTCCCTGTGTATAATGGGGGAGCTAGATTTCCAAAGGAGAAGGGACAGGAAATCTAATCAAGTGGCTGATAACCTAATCATATTCAGACTATTTTTCACATCCCATAATGGACCTGAAAACAATTATAAATTCGAAATGAGTGAGAAAAAGAAGTGTGGCATCACTAAGTTCTATTCACAAACCGACTGAATTCCTCCAGTAAGCTCATATTTGCATTCTAAAATAGTGCAATTAAGCAAGCTGTCCTCCAACTATAAAGTATACCATCTTCTAGAAAAAAAAGAAGAGTCACAAATTGAGTATGGAGATTTAAAGTT